ATCTGCAGAGCATCTTTTCATCCCCTTCACACGTCTTCATGGCCCAATACAAGTGAACTTTAATGCTATGTCCTCAAGGATACCACTAATAATTTTACGAGTCTTCACTGATTACTTTTATCTACAAGTTCTGGAAACCAAGTCTTTCCTTATTCTTGCTTGGTCCTTCAGTAATCTTCTTCAATTGCTTCACTACATTATTCGTTCCTGTTACAAAATAAACAATATTATTGTCCATGTCAAATGCTAACCATGCCAAGTGTCAAACGAATTTTTCAAATTGAGGTCCTTTGTGATATAATTCGATACTTGCTGCTGTATATCATGGGCCACTTCTACAACATTGACACCTGTTATGTTGGAATGAGTAGTTCAATTCATTGAAGTATAGGGTACCTTTACTTATCACTTTATGTAACACTACCTTAGTGCAAGCTACCTCTCTTGTCTGAGCAATGCTGTGATCTGCTCGAGACACAGTTGCGATATCAAGTACTTTGTGTGTACTATATAATGTAATGATACAATTTTGACAATAAAATAAATACCTTCCAGAAAGACATGGCACAGTAGTATAAAAAGCATTAGCAGTGGAGTCGTGTCTAGCATCAGTAATCACCCACTAAAAGAGAGCATTTTTGTTGTATTATATTGTCTTGAAACTTACTTCCCCACTTGAATTGTAACTAGGTTGACGCTTCACTTCTTCAACTGCATCAATCATTACATCTTCAGCCATGCCATTGACTACTTCAATAAACCCACACTTGTTGTATACTATGAACAATTAGGACAGTGACTGCTAAATGTTTATTCGCCATACCTTTCCAGATATACTGGTGTCCAACGTTACCAATACATGCAAATTGGCAAAATTTGATGTATTGGGTTGGTAGCATGCCAGCACATGTAAAACTGTGAATCATCCTGAAAAGAGAATAATTGGCAGAATGTATATAGACTGCTGACTTCTGGTTTAACAAATAATGTCCGCCAAAAACACGAGAACTAGACCAAGTTCTTTTCTGTTGTTGACAACACCAACAAACAAAAAGTAATCTAGCTACGTGACCTCTCTATATAAACATTAATTAATACAGTATCAATATGTATATGTAGCTACACAGTACACACCTTTACAATCGACTCAAACATCCATGGATTAGAAGATTTGCCACAGCAACAAGGTGTAACTAAACCTTCTACCAAATCATTGAGGCAGTAGTTCTCCACAAGAAAAGCATCTTCATCATCATCCTTATCATTACCAGTGAAAACACCTTAGTAATAAAATTAATAATAAAATAATTATAGTAATTAGCACTTATTAATTTTATTCACCAACTTACCACTATTGCGATTAAAAGACTGTATTTCACTACTACCTTCATGTTCCTCACTTCTCTTTCTCCCAATACCAGCAGGAGACTGAGAAGAGCCATGCATCAAGCTATCTTCAACTACATCAAACATGGCTGTCATCAGACCAAAGTTGTCTAGCTTATTCTTAGATAGCAAAGAACGAACATCCTCTAAACGACGACTAAAGGCACCTTTCTCTGCCACAGACTGAAACTCTATGTTGAAAGTCATCCTGATACGAGTCCCTGATCGTCCTGAAGCTCCTGTTTCGCTATTACTCGCCATAATCGTGATTTACTCAATATATAACAACAAGAACAATCGAGAACAATAGAACATGTGGAACATAAAAGAGGCTTGGCAATTCCAGCCTCTTCCTTTTACTGTACTATGTCAATTAACTGATGTTATCAAGATCTTTATCATATGTGTAGTCGCCATTTTGATACTTGCTGTCCATTTTTGGGCCCCTTTTATACTGCGCATGCTCGTTTAAGGTGTATCAATTACCTTTGTCAAAACATAAGAGATAAGCTACGACTAATAGGATTTCCGCCAGGGGAATGTAAAGTTCTCCATGATATTTTTAAAGTGCAAATAGGGGATCATTTTGAACCTGGCGTCATAGAAGCCAAATCTGAAACTTTGTTAAATCGGCTTTAAGGAGGCTTAAAGATTAAGGGAGCAGTTTAGAAAGGAGTTATATTTGTCATGTGTTGACTGTCCGGTTTTATAATTGGTTTTCCAAGTGTATACTTAAAGACATCACACAATGTGTTCTGCCAGATTTAAGGGAAAAAGCTGGCTTGGACGGTACACAGCCATGGGCGGTTGCAGAAATTTGGTTTGACCTGGGCATCAATAATTAGTGGGTGTGGTTCCATACAATTTTGCAAGGAAAATGGACAATACTGATCTATAACTTCATTGAGATGATTTCTTAGCATAAAACAACAAAGAAGCCTGTTGAACTACCACAGTTTACACTGGATGCCCACACCAGAATCATGAATATAATTATTGGTCAAAAAGTCAACCTGGGCATTGCCCCCTAATGCCCAGGCCTGCAACCGCCTATGTACACAGCACTTCACCAATGCTACTGAATCTAGTAACAATGTTATCAAGCAAGAAGTTTAGTGAAGGGAAAGAAAGCTTCCAGTGTTAATTGAGCATTTAAAGGCTACTGTACTGAGACATGCATCTGAGCTTGACAAATCTGTCATTAGCCTAGGAGAGTGGCATTTCTTGTGTCCGTATAATCATTTAAAAGTTGCAGATGAACAATGGTTTTTAATGAGCCATGATGCAAGGAAAATTGTCCATTGAAGAGTTGTGCTAATATTGGTGCTTCCACATCAGGTTATCTCGCCTTGTCAACATCTCTTTCTTCTCTTGTTGAAGATGTAAATGTTGAATCTATTTCTGAATCTTTTTCGCAAGGAATTTGGAAAAAAGTAGCAAATATCCTGAATTTTAAAAAGGAGCAGGTCCTGGAAGTTTCTTGGGTTACTAATAAGGGAACCAGACTTGTGAAAAGTTCTTCACTTCAGCCACACCTTGTGAACTCTGACAGTAAGAGCCAACTCTGTTGTGATGATACATGTGTTATGTTTAAAAGTTTTCATCTCTGTGGGTAGCCATAGCCGAGATAAATGAACAATTAAGTTTATTTTTACGGAGCTTACAAACATCTCTCCAAACTTAACAATAGCAAATGAAGGGCTACTGTCTGGCTCTGCAAGAACATGTGGACAAGTGAAGGCAAAGAAGAGAGCCAAGGAAAGTATTTTCACAATCTGTTTGCTCTTGCCTTGAGGGGCCAAATTTTAATTTGACTTGTACCAACTACAGTGGTGGCAAGGAAACAACCAGTACTTGCGCTATTAGTTTTATAAATGTGTCATCTAAATCACAATCTGCATCAGGTATTTCTTTTTTCTTAGGAAAGTCTCTTGCACAAGTCACAGTTGCAACAGGTGCAAGTCTAAAAAATGCACCTGTCTTGAATAAATTACCATCATTTCCAGCCCCTGCTGCTAACACTACTATTCCTTCATTACAAAGTAGCATACCAGCTACTGGGGCATCTACAGCTACAAGTTCCAAGGTATTACGAATCCATTTTAACTCCTTCATAGCAACAACAATGAAGGAGTTATGATACATGTGGAATGGTGGTGGCTCGTACTTAAAGATGACTTATTAAGCCATTAACAGGGCTGCAGTTTTATACAAAGGAAAGCAATTCTCATTTAATGCACGCCTAACCTATCTTCAGATGGCACTCGTATCATTTCAAATTAAAGATCTGGTGCTAACAGATAATATTAAATCAAACCTCACCATGTATCAAAAGTATTATTTGCTACACTTAATGATTTTGAATATTATGTGATCTACATTATAGTGGTCTGATGTGACATTATTACTTAATCTCTAATAGTTCTGTTCCTCCTACAGACATACTATTATAATCACTTATATAATCATTGGTTAACTGAATCATTTTGACTATAATTATAGATTTAATCTGTGATCAATTTCTGTTTTTCCTATAAACATGATTATTTTCACTTATATAATAACTGGTTTCATTTAATTATTTTGACTATAATTAATTTTTTCCAATAAAAATACTAATTATAAATGATTATAAATCCAATAGTTTCAGATACTTTTACATAACATTTCTCATTTCCGTATTTCTCAATTTCCCATTTCCTGATTTCCCATTCCCACTTTTATAAGTACCCCTGATTTCAATCACTATGGCAACTCTAAGCATGCGCAATAAAATTTAAAAATGGCATATGCAAAAGAGAGGGTGTGTTGATCACGCCCATAATGCTTTCTTTGTTTGAATTTTTTGCTCATAAAATTCTGAAACTACCTTTGTGGTCCTTGTACCAAGCCCAAAGGTGTGCTGTAAAAGCCAACTTAACTGCTTCTTTTGCTTAAAAGATTGGAGGGGAGATAGAAGATGAAAGAAGGAAGAAAAAGTCTGAACATTTTTGTAAAGCTTTGAATTTAGGCCTATTCTCCATAATTGCTCCTACTACATTGCAGTCCACATTAAAGGTACCAGGAGAATTGCTCAGTGAAGGAGAGCTCATGTAATCCATTTATACGGCCGTACAATGTAGGATAGAAGAGTTATAAGCATTTGAAAATCATAAATTTGGTGACCATCTTAAAAAATCAACCTCAACCCTACATATAGGCTACTGCCTATATCATATACTTCAAAGTGGTAGAGTTGGTGATTCCTTTGTTAAGGAAGTAGCCAGGCTCTTTCAAGCCTGTGCTAATTACTTCAGTTTAGAGCCTACAACACTTTATTCTACAATGGTGATGCCTGCTATCCTTCGGAAGCCATCTGAAAAAGTTGCTATTATGAAGCTTAACACCTACACACAAAAAAATGGTGTATTATTTGCTACATACTTGGATGTGTTATATGACAAATAGATGTGCTGAATTATAAATATAACACACTAGCTGTGCTCTTTCTAAATTCAACACACTAAATTTAACACAC